TATCACTCAATTCATCCATATTTCCAACCAAGAAAATAAAAGTCTTAAACTCAAATCATGGAATAAAAATCTTAAATACTTAGACAAACAGAAATTATATGGCAAAGATTTTATAAAGTGCTCCTTCCACCTTTCTTGTGAGCAGGCTGGGAGACCTGCAGTGGAGGCTCCCCGGGAAGAACTAACTGGGCCTCCAATGACCTCCTATGAAAGGCTCAAGACTGGCCTTAGCTTGTAGTCACTGGGCACAGGCCTCTGCTTTTTGGTCAGGGTTCTTTACATAATATTAAATGAGAAAATGCACAGTGTTTAAAGAAGCCAGCAAAATAACTCAAACTCAGTGTCTGTGTTTATAGGATGAAAGGAAATTCTGACAGGGAAAAAATTCAAACCATAACTCTTTTTCCTCTGCTCTCACACCATAACAATCAACCCAGAAGATTTCTGTGACCAAAGGTGTGGGGACTTCTCCCTCTCAACAAGTAAGCAATGTTGCAAGAGACACCAGCTAGATGTCCTCAAAGCCAGTTTGATTCCATCATTATCTACCTGGAGATGGGGAATGGGGTACCAGTTCATGCCCTGTCAGACTCACCACCTTCCTAGAACCCCCATGTGTTCAGCTACCTGGAAGTTCCTCAAACCCCATCCTTGGGTTTTTATGGAAGCTTCATTTCATTCACATAATTAAACCATATGTCACTGCTAATCAACTTAACCTTAAGCCTCTCTCTCTTCCCCAGAGGTTGGGGGTAGGACTGAAAATTCCATCCCTCTGGGTATGTGGCTGGTGCCCCTGGAAACCAGCCTCCTATCAAGTTGTTTCTAGAGACTTTCAAAAAATCCCCTCATTAACATAAGGGCAAGTGTTTAAAAGGGATTGTTGTAAATAACAAGACTATCTTTCACCTGTACCAGTCAGGAGCTACTGTGTTTCCCCGAAAATAAGACGGAGTCTTATATTTATTTTTCCTCAAGAAGACATCCTAGGGCTTATTTTCAGGAGATGTGTTATTTTCCCCTCAAAGCCTCAGCCTGCAGCACACACAGGATGCCCGGGACCTGACAGCAGGAGCTGACCTTGTTGGTGGGGCTGCCCGCACCTCTCAGGTCACCTCTGGGATAGTAGCTGTCACGATGGGACAGATGAGAAGTGCTGCTCACCTTCTTTACCACTCTGAGATAAAATGCAGTTTGTGCAGATGCGCTGCATAGCCACGCCCATCACTAGGTCTTATTTTCTGGGTAGGGCTTCTATTGCACAAATGCTTAGAAATCCTGCTAGGGGCTATTATATGGGTAGGTCTTATTTTCAGGGAAACATGGTACTTCAGAATCAAAGGACAAAAAGACCAAATAATCTAACAAAAGTATTCTTTTTTAATTTTTTTTTTTTTTTTTGAGACAGAGTCTCACTTTGTTGCCCAGGCTAGAGTGAGTGCCGTGGCATCAGCCTAGCTCACGGAAACCTCAAACTCCTGGGCTCAAGCGATCCTTCTGCCTCAGCCTCCAAGTAGCTGGGACTACAGGCATGGGCCACCATGCTTGGCTGATTTTTTGTATATATATTAGTTGTCCAATTTCTTTCTTTCTATTTATAGTAGAGATGGGGTCTCGCTCTTGCTCAGGCCGGTTTCGAACTCCTGACCTCGAGCAATCCGCCCACCTCGGCCTCCCAGAGTTCCCAGAGTGCTAGGATTACAGGCGTGAGCCACCGCGCCTGGCCTAACAAAAGTATTCTTACTGCTCTAGTCACTTAGGAAATAACAAGGCTTATAGGAGATGAGGGACAAGAATCATGGGAAAAAACAAAATATATGTGTCATAATATCACTGAAATTGTAAGGAACTTAAACGTTATACCTCAACAGGAAAAGCAAAAGTATCCCTTTTAGATAATAAACATGTCATTTAATTATTATTTCTATGATAAATAATTTTTTAAACACATCTAGGAGTTGCCAAATCCCATCTCCTAGGATTTAGCATTAAATTCTAACATCCAGATAACAGTATACAAAACAGAGTTATTTACTATAACATTCTCCACCCTGCAAAAAAGAAAGGAATGAACATTTTGGTGAATCTTTGTCATTCACTAATTTTTTAACAGAGTTATTTACTATAACATTCTCCACCCTGCAAAAAAGAAAGGAATGAACATTTTGGTGAATCTTTGTCATTCACTAATTTTTCTACCACACTTTCTTATGGAAATGTATTTATTTTTCTGCAAACAAAACAGAAGAGAGATCTTTCCTATTTCCTTTCCTGGGTAGCATTCCCAAAGGTAAGCCCTGGAATTCCATTTAAAATCACCTCCAAATAAAGAACAAACCTGAGAAAATTACTATACTCAGTCTGGGGGAAAAAAAGGTAAACAAGAATTTTAAACAAATGAAATATATGAGTAACTTTTTCCCTGAAATCTACATTTTCCATGTCTGTTTGAAAATATTTTCTTATCTTTCAAGCTCTACAGCTAAAATTCATTTTAAAGCTGATAGAAAAAAAACTAATTTGAAATAAGTGAATAAATCTTTTTTTTTTTTTTTTTGAGACAGATTCTCACTGTTGCCTAGGCTAGAGTGCCATGGCGTCAGCCTAGCTCACGGCAAGCTCAAACTCCTGGGCTCAAGCGATCCTCCTGCCTCAGCCTCCTGAGTAGCTGGAACTACAGGCACGCGCCACCATGCCCGGCTAATTTTTTCTATATATTTTTAGTTGGCCAATTAAATTTCTTTCTATTTCTAGTAGAGACAGGGTCTGGAGCTCTGGTTTCGAACTCCTGACCTTGAGATCCTCCAGCCTCGGCCTCCCAGAGTGCTAGGATTATTGGCATGAGCCACCGCCCCCGGCTGGAATAAATCTTTTGAAGGTGACAAGCCCTGGGCGGGGCAGGTGACAGGAACACAGATGTGTTTGACTCAAGTGCCAAGTCAGGCCATTCTATTATTTGGGACATCCTCCCACCCCCATCCTGCTCACGGAAGTACTAGATGACCGACCCTTCTCCCAGAAGACACTGCACCCGCCCCCCCCACCCCCCCCAAGTGCATTTTGCTTTGGAAGTTCTTACACCACCTCACTGGGGTGTGTTTTCCTTGTGCTTGGTATAATTTTTTTCCCTTCAGGAGGGAAAGAATCATTTCTTTCCCCCTTCGTACCAGCATCCAACTGGCTGATCACCATTATGCCTTCAGGAAATGAAAACTGGGGTTGGGGAAGAAAACTGTAATGTCCCCAAAAGTTAGCTTTTTAGATGAAGGGGCCTCCAGGAGATTCCTCTCAGCCCTAGGGTATATAGCTGCTCCCCTGAGAGGATCCACCACCATACTTCAGGCTTTCCTCTGGGAGATGACCCAGGAGCTGATATTCTCTACACACTCCAAAAGACATGGCCACTGTGGGCACGTTTGGTCACTCCCAGACAGTTCTGAAGCCCAAGACCATGAAAAGACAGAAGGATGGCGAAGGATACATTGTCCTGTATAGTATCCAAAGGAGAACTTGACCTAAAGACATTCTGGTAAGCAGTGTGTGCTTTGGGAAGATAAAAGGAGGAGTGGCACAAAGATATTTCACAAGGAATGTTAAAGTGTATATTCTCTGCATTACTCTTACTTGAAATGCTCAGAAACAGAAAACACATTTTAAAAAGAGCCACCCACTGCTCCATAAAACATGATTAAAAATTAAGGCACTGTGTCTCTTTGAAAAATACGATAAAGTGGCCCGGCGTGGTGGCTCACGCCTGTAATCCTAGCTCTCTGGGAGGCCGAGGCGGGCGGATTGCTCGAAGTCAGGAGTTCAAAACCAGCCTGAGCAAGAGCAAGACCCCGTCTCTACTATAAATAGAAAGAAATTAATTGGCCAACTGATATATATATGTAAAAAATTAGCGGCATGGTGGTACATGCCTGTAGTCCCAGCTACTGGGAGGCTGAGGCAGTAGGATTGCTTGAGCCCAGGAGTTTGAGGTTGCTGTGAGCTAGGCTGACGCCACGGCACTCACTCTAGCCTGGACAACAAAGTGAGACTCTGTCTCAAAAAAAAAAAAAAAAAATACGATAAAGGAACAATAGTGGATAATGTGAATTGGTGAGGGGAAGTTGGCATTTGGGAATGTGAAAAAGGAACTGGAAATTTACAATTTTACTGTAAGCCCTAGAAGAGTTAGGCTGTGGGAACAGGGTGGTGGATTTGGAAAACGCAGGGGAACACAAGTCCCTCTGTAGAGTGTTAAAAGCAACTAAATAGGAGCCAAATAGACCGAACTGACTCTAGTGCCCTGGGTTCCTACCTAATAATACCAATATTTAACTCAATGCATATTTTTGTAAATTACCAACTTAGAAACAAAATTTAAGCTTAACCAATTAACTTCCAATTACATAATCAGAAGGTAGCCACCTGGATCGCCCAATAAGGAAACTACGTCACTGTACCCAAGCAATTACTGAATTGGGTTCGCTTCCTCATACACCTTATAAAAAAAAGCCTTGCCTTCGAGCCCCTCTGGCGGACCCCCAAACGCAAACCCTGGCTTGGTGCTCCCCGATTCCTAAATCATTGCTGTTTCCTCTAATAAACTCTTTGATGTTTTAACCATGCCTTAGTTTAATTTTTCAAAGGAGAAAGGGCAGACTGGGGACCCCACGGACCCCGGCTCCTTCCACGCGGGAGCCCCGCTCACCGAGGGGGCATTCTTCCCCGAGGACCCTCGCGTGGTCACCGCGCACTCCGGGGAGACGCTGGGCTGCGGGCGCGGTGCGGCCCAGCCAGGGCTCCGGGGGGGGGCGAAGTCACGTGGCAGGGACAGCCGGGACCCCCGCCCCCGCCCCCAGTGTGGCTGCGGTTCCAGCCCGACCCCGAGGCCCGAGGCCCGCAGCGCCAGCGGGGACTGAGTCCTCACGCGCCGGGACGGACGCGGGAGGCCCGCCCGCCTCAGCCACTCCGGCCGCTTCCAGACTCCCCGACACCCGGCCCCGCGTGCTCACCATCTCCCGGCCTCCGCGGTGTCCCGGCATCCTCCCTACAGACCTTCCAGTCTTCGCAGGTCGCAGGGCGACAGACGCTGCGGCGCGGCCACCTGCCCTCTCAGAGCGAAGGAGAAAGCCGCGAACGCCGAGAAACAAACCCCGCGCCACACCGTAGGCGCCGCCCCTTCCTCTCCCACTGGAGCCCGATTGGACAGTTCGCTCTCCAGCGCCCCCCGATTGGATAGGGCCCCAGGCCCCGCCCTTAAGCCCCTGAGTGACAGGTGATGGGGTCCCATATATTCATGGCGGCAAACAGGGCTTCCTCTACCTACCCGGCCCTGGCGCTGCCTGAAGGACATTCGCATTTAGCCATGTATATAAGGCTGTATCCATTATGAGCAATATTGACATATATGATATTCAGGCCGGGCGCGGTGGCTCACACCTGTAATCCTAGCACTCTGGGAGGCCGAGGCGGGCGATTCCTCGAGGTCAGGAGTTAGAGACCAGCCAGAGCAAGAGCGAGACCCCGTCTCTACTAAAAATAGAAAAATTAGCCAGTGTTGTGGTGCGTGCCTGTAGTCCCATCTACTTGGGAGGTTGAGGCAGGAGGATGGCCCAGGAGTTTGAGGCTGCCGTGAGTTAGGATCGCGCCATTGCACTCCAGCTTGGGCAACAGAGCAAGACTGTGACTTTTGAAAAAAAAAAAAAAAAAAGCGGGAGGCAGCTCTAACGAGGCAGCAGCAGGTTGTTGGGTTTGGAGGCCAATGGGGCCAACAGGTCTAACGCAGTTGCAATAACAGTGAGGAAAAGGAAGCCCTTTCTGGAACCAGAAGGTAAAGTCCAGCCCTCTAAGATCACTGGAGAGGCTGGCCCCTGGCTGTCCCATCCACAGAAGGGCTCAAGAGCCCCATGGCTCCTACATCTTGTGTCTCCACCACCCACTGCCTCACCCCATTCCAACTGGCCCACACCCCCTGGCGTGGCCCAGAATGGCCAGTTGCCCATCGCAGTCCTGACTTGACAGCACACAATACAGGGGTCATTCATGCCTGAGAAGATGAGAACCAGGTTCACTCCACTACCAGGAGGAGTAGCAACAGTCTGCCCTCTGTCCCCTATGAGGCAAAGCAGGCGGGGCCCCAGAAAGGTGGGGGACGAAGCAGCACAGGAGGGCTGGAGCCAGGGCACCGTGCAAGCCTCCCAGACTCCTCTCTGGCAGCCAGTGTTCCCCTGTGCTGCACCCTCTGTCTCGGAGGCTGGAGGACACGCCCCTTGTGCAGTGCCCATCTGTGCCTTCCTGCAGGTTTTGCTTCCCTTGCTCCAGGCAAAGCATGGAACAGCAGGGAGCTTCTGGAAATGTTTATGGCCTCAGTGGGGAAAAATGCCCTCTTGTGAGCACCAGAGACTCCTGGGCCTTTTTTGCTGGAGGATATTGCAGCCGTCCTTGTTGGAAACGTGCAAGTGAAAAAAGAGAGATTTGTGACTTTACAGTTACCGGAAAACTCAATGATTACCCTTAATTAAAACTGCTTGAGGCTGGGCATGGTGGCTCACACCTGTAATCCTAGCACTCTGGGAGGCCGAGGCGGGCGGATTGCTCAAGGTCAGGAGTTCAAAACCAGTCTGAGCAAGAGTGAGACCCGTCTCTACTATAAATAGAAAGAAATTAGTTGGCCAACTAATATATATAGAAAAAATTAGCTGGGCATGGTGGCGCATGCCTGTAGTCCCAGCTACTCGGGAGGCTGAGACAGAAGGATTGCTTGAGCCCAGGAGTTTGAGGTTGCTGTGAGCTAGGCTGATGCCATGGCACTCACTCTAGCCTGGGCAACAAAGCGAGACTCTGTCTCAAAAAACAAACAAACAAACAAACAACTGCTTGAAGTGTGTGTGTGTGTTTGTGTGTATCCAAGACAAGGGAAATGTAGACTTAACAAACATGGCTATACGTGGCTGTATTAGTTTGATTTTTTTGAATACATCGTATTTCTGTATTTTTCTGGATGACAAAACATATGCTCTTATAAAGGCATTTTTTTCCCCTTTTGTTAGCTTTATTAGCACTATCCTGGTGACAGCTACCTTTCTATGTAGAATTGCACTGCTTTTTTAGCACTTGTCAAATCAGAAATGCTTCCAGGTCTATTAGCATGCATTTATTTCAAAAAGAAAAAACGCCCAGTTTTCTGACACTTAAGATTGTTTGCTGTCTGCTATTTCTTATTTCGGGTCCCCTTCTCAGGCTGGAGGCCAATTGGCTGAGAAGGAAAGGAAATGAGTGACTGGGGCAGTCTTGTTAAGTGGGCACACCACTGGGAAATACCACCAAGCTTACCCTAAAATGGTGTCCTGTCAGTGGAATAGGAAAATACATTTTGAATCTCCGTTGTGTTCTTAAAGTTTGGTTCTTGGGATATTAATGACTGTCTGAGAGGTGCTGCTGGAAGATTTTAAGGACTATGGGTAAGCTGGGACAGGGTGAGTGTTAGGTCCCTGCTCAGAGGGGGCGCAGCCGGTGGGTGCCCCTGGAAGCGGCTGTGGGGACCCGGCCTCCTGGCAGCAGCTGAGAAGTCTTAAGGAATGGGACTGATGTGCACTATGTTAGGCATCTTTATTCAAATGCTTATGTGTTTTATTTAAATATTATGATGAAATTCAAACATCTTGCACAATAGAAAAGATAGTTATATAATAAAACCTGTCACAAATAGTACCAATAAAAATCTTAAAAATTTTTCATAATATTGCAATCATTTTCAATGACCAACTCCAGCTATCCTACTGGCATTTTAAAGCATATATGACAGATCACATAATTTAGTCTGTGGTTAAAAATATTATTGGAAATATTGCTATCACACCTAACAAAATATACATTTTTTATAATAAATAAAAACTCAGTTTCAGTAATGTTTGTGATTGAAATTCTAGGGGACTACAGCCACAAGAGATTTTGTTTGACTAACCTTAATTCTTTGTGTACAATATTTAGCCCAGACACTCATAGTGATGAAATTGAATATATTAATTGGAGATAAAAGGCCATAGAATATGATTACTGATTAAAATGTCCAATGAATGGACACACACTCCAATCCTGAGGAGACCCTCATCCTCAGTGTAACTCCAGGGAGGTCTTTCCCCAGGCGTTCGTCCCTCACCTGCCTGTTGAGGGCAGGGCTTGGTAGGTGGGGAGCAGGCCCCACCCCAGCCATCCCTGACTGCCCGCAATCTGGTCTCACCTGTGTCTTTAGCCTTGTCCTCCCAACTTCCTCACCTCCAGAGGATGGAGACCGGCAATGCTGGAGAGGGTACAAGTGCATGGAAAGTGTCCCTTTTCTCTCCCTGAGCCCCACACCCTCTGCTCCTGCCAGCACTCCCCCCCCCAAGGTGCTGGCCTCAACCAGGTGCCACATGCCAAGAACAGCTCACTGTGCAGCCCAAGGGGTGCTGAGTCCTGGAGGGGCCTTGCTGGGCCTGGGGGGCTTTTCCCAATCACAGAGTCTTTCTGACTTTGCCACTTACTGGCCCCATGCCTCAGTTTCCCCCACTGCAGCACAAGGCCAAAATCCCAGCCTGAAGGCTGAGGGCCCAGAAAGCCCACCCCAACACGTTAAGTGGCTGCAGCATGTGAAAATGGAAGGAGAGAGACATTTCCTGCCCTGGGTCTCTTGCCCTAGGACTGACGTCCATTAGGCCACAGGGTGCCAGGGAGGGCCATGTCCCCTTCCTGAGGAACTTTGCTCCCAGTACTGGGTCACTAGAGCAGAGGCACAGGGGTGGGATGAGGAGGAGCAATGCTCCATCATGAGGGCCTAAGTGAACTCCAGGGAACAAGCAGCAAATTCTGACTCAGGTCTGAAGCTGGGCACCCCAAGGCATTTGTGTTTGGGGGTGAGCTGAGGACCTTTGGTCAGGGAACAAAGCGTTTGGGTTTTGGAAACCTAAGAAGTATTAGCTCTCTGGGGTATATGACGTGTTGCCAGATTTGTATTTTCAAAGAGCCTAAGAGGAGGAGGATAAGGGGAAGGGTCCCTGAAACCCAAGGCAAATGCCTTTCTGCCTCCCCACCTGTCTTCCCCACTGGGAGACTTTAACAAAGTGTGTGTGTGTGTGTGTGTGTGTGTGTGTGTGTGTGTGTGTGTGTGAGAGAGAGAGAGAGAGAGAGAGAGAGAGAGAGAGAGAGATCAGGAGGCAGGCAGGCTGAGGGTCTAAGGGGATTATCAGTCTAATGTTTGAAACAGCGCTGCCATCACAGGCCTCTCAGGCATGTGAGGAAACTGAGGTTCCAGGAGGACACCCAGAGCCTGGGCGGGCAGCTGGCAGCCGGGAGCCCCCGGAGGTCTGGGCAGACCCCCCAACCCCACCAGAGGCGGCTCCAGTCCCAGCTTAGTCCCTCCCGAGCCTCTCAGGCAGGTGGGACCCGGCCCTCCCCCAGCCCCCTTCCTCACGCTGGGGCCTCCCGCGCGATGGCGTTGGAGGGGCTTGCGCCCCCTCTGCCAGGCTGGGAGCTGGCGGGCCCCACCTGCCTGGCCACCCCTCTCTGCCCCGCGGCCGGCGGCTGGCACTTGAAGCGCTCCCCCGGCTTGGCTGGGGCCGCGGGAGCTGCACTTTGGGGACCGTCCCCCACCAGCCCTGCGGCCCCTGCTAGACCCCGCACTTCCCGCCGACCTGGACCGCCAGCGGCCCCACAACCCCCGGACATCGCCCTGTCACCTCGGCCGGGCGGTGCCCGCACCCCCAGGGCAGACCCCTAAGTCCGCCGGGTCGCGAGAACAGGGTGGGGCGATGGTGGCGCCAGAGGGCGTCGCCTGGTCTCCCGCCTCTGGGGTCAGGGGTCGGCTTCCGCGGCCGGTCGGGTCACACCCACCCTCCGAAGGTCCCCCTGGCTGTGGCCGAGGTCAGCCACGAACGGGGCGGGGCGGGCGCTGCGCCCCACCCACCGCCCGCGCCTCGCACGTGGGCGGCGCCTCGCGACCCAGGCGCTGCCCAGTCCTCGCGCGGCTGCAGCCGGGACCGTCGGGAGGGCGCGAGGAACGCGGCCGCGGTCCCTGCGCTCGCACCGGCGCCCCCGGCCCAGACGCCGTCCGTCCCGACGCCTCCGCCCGCGGTGTCGCCGCCCTCGGCCGCGGGTCCTCCCGTCCCGCCGCTCCCGCGGGACGCGCTCCGTGCCCGGCTCCGCGGCGGGCCGCCCACGACAGCCACCGCACGCGGAGAGCGCGGGCGCAGGCCGGCGCCAGGAGGCCCGGCGTCCCCGGAGGCGGCGAGGGCGGCTGTCCCCAGGCCGGCTCGGGCGCCGCTCCGGGTCTGCGGGGGGAGGCGGCGGCGCGGGTCGCCGGGCCGCAGGAGCGCGCGGGATCCGAGCCCGCGGGGTGTGCGGGCCTTCCGCCCCGCGCCCGGGCCTGGCTGGGGCTCCGGACGTGCCCTTCCCGGCGGGGGGCAGCCGTGTGTGTGTGTGTGTGTGTGTGTGTGTGTGTGTGTGTGTGTGCGTGTGGTGTGTTCTGTGGGAACAGTTTGTCAGAAGTGGCTTTGCAGCCGTGTGTGTGTGTGTGTGTGTGTTCTGTGGGAACAGTTTGTCAGAAGTGGCTTTGCAGCCGGTGTGTTGTGTGTGTGTGTGTGTGTGTGTGTGTGTGTGTGTGTGTTCTGTGGGAACAGTTTGTCAGAAGTGGCTCGTTGTTTCCCCAAGGGGAGAGACTGGCTTTGCAATTTTTTTCCTTGTTTAGTTTACTTAAAACTGGTGGCGTCTTCTGAACTTAAAGTCTTAACGCCCTGCCCAGCTGGCTGACTGGAAGGCTCTGGCCGAGGGGAACCAGAAACACCCGAAGCTGAGTTGCTGGCCGCGGGACGGGAGCTCAGACTGTGCCACTGAATACACAGAGAGCTCGCTGAATCGGGATGTGCTAGAAACTCAAATTACAGAGTCATTTTTGAAAGATTTAGTACAAAAACCCCAAACTTCATTAATAATATATCGATCACATGTTGTAACGATGTTTTGGAGACATTGGGTTAAATAAATTATTTCAATCAATTTTGTGTCTTTCCTTTCCTTCTCTGTTGCTACTGGAAACAGTAAGACGGCACGCGGGGCTCGCCCTCACTTCCGCGGCATTTCCGGCAGCCGTGGCCGCTGAGGGGAGCCCTTCCTTTGCAAAGCTCAGGCCGCCTCCTCAAAACACCAGAGGCGAAGAAGGTTATGACATCGGGAATTTTAAAATAATCGTTATATTGCTTCCCGTGTTGAACATCATATCCATACATGGTTATAACCTTACACACAAGGTTAAATGCGCGGGTTCTCCCGCAGCGCCGGTCGCGCGCGGAGGGGGAAGCGCGCCTGGCAGCCGTGAACCTGTGCGGTCCGGTCCGCTGTCACTCGCGGCCCCAAGGGGCGGGGCTTGGCGCCCTACCCAATCAGGGACGCTGGGTGGGAACTGTCCAATCAGGGCGCGGCAGGAGAGGAAGGGGCGGCTCCCAGGACCCGCCGGGGCCTTTGTCTCCAGCCGCAGCCGCCCAGCAACAACCGTGTTCCCTGCTTTCTCCTCAGCGGTGGGAGGGCAGGTGGCCGCGCCGCAGCATCTGTCGCCCTGTGACCTGCGGGGACTGGGAGGTCTGTAGGGAGGATGCCGGGACACCGCGGAGGCCGGGAGATGGTGAGCGCGCGGGGCCGGGTGTCCCGGGCGGGGGGTGGATGCGGCCGGAACTGGCTGTGGCGGAACTCGGGCCTCCGGCGTCCGCGGACCGGGTCCCCGCGGGCGCAGCGCGGCTGCAGACGCCTCTGGCCGCCCAGTGAGCTGGGCCGGCTGGCGGAGCTCTCGGCGTCCGTCCCCTTCCCGCAGGTGACCTCGGCCCTGACTGGAGCCTGTCTGGGCAGCTCTGCGCCCCCAGCCCCGCGTCTCCTCAGCGTGCGGGACGACCGGAGGGCCCTCGGGGAAGAACCCCCACTCGATGTGTGGGGCTCCTGCGTGGGCCGAGCTGGGGTCCGTGGGGTCCCCGTTCCTCCGTTCTCCTGTTTAAAATTAAACGAAGGCACCGTTAGAATAGGAGCTTATTAGAGCAAATGCGATTAATTAGGAAGCTCTCAGGCAGGTTTGCGGTTTGGGGTCCAACGGAGGGAGGGGCTTGAAGGAGAGGCTTTTATAGGTGCATGAGGATTCATAAATTTCTTGGTTACAGTTATGTAGTCGCCTTATTTGGACTATCCAAGTGGCTATGTTCTGGTTGCACAATCAGGGATTAATTAGCGGTTTAATAGCTGGTAAAGCTTAAATTTTGTTTCTCTGTAAATTAGTAATTTACAGGGAAAAAAATGCATTTGGATTAGATTTCAGTGTTGTCAGGTAGGAACCCAGATAACTAGAGGCAGTTCAGTCTAACTGCCTCTAAATAGTTATTTTAACACTCCAGAGAGAGTCTACTTTGATCCTGCATTTTACAAATGTATGGCAAGTGGGGTTTCAAATCCACCACACTGTGGATCAAATCCCCCAGCAAAACTCGGCTAGGGCTTGCAGTAAAATTCTAAATTTCTAGTTACTTCACACATTCCCAAATACTAACTTCCCCTCAGCAATTCACAACACTATCATCTATTTGTCCTTTATTTTACTTTTCATGGAGACAATGTTTTAGTTTTTTTTATCATTTTTTTCACAGAGCAGTGGGTGGCTATTTTAAAAATATTAATAAATTATTAAAAATTAAATAAATTAATAAATTTCCATTTCTGAATATTTCACATGAGAGAAAATCAGAATATTCACTTGACACTCCCCTGTAAAAGTGTCTTTCGCCTTTCCTCCTTCCCTAGGCAAACACAACTTACCAGAATGTCTTTAGGTTGAGATTCTCCTTTGGAAACTCTAGAGGGTGAGGTGTCTTCAGCCATCCTCCTGTCTTTTTATGGTCCTGATTTCACAACTGTCTGTGATGACCTAGAATGCCCGTAAGTTTCCATGTCTCTTGGAGTGTCTAGTGAATGACAGTCCTGGGTCATCTCCCAGAGGACAGCCTGAGGTATGGGGCTGGAGCCTCTCAGAGGTGCATCTGGATGCCCTGGTACTGAGAGGAGTCTCCTGGTATACCCTACATTGAAAAAGCTAACGCTTTGGGATTTTAATATTTTCTTTCCCCATTTCCAGTTTCTATTTCTTGGAGACACATTGGTAGTCAGCCAGTTGGATGCAGATATTGAAGGGAAAAGACAGAAAAGATTTTTATTCTCTGGATTTTCTCACACTTATGTAGGGAGAAAAACTATCCTTCAAGAACAAGGAAAACCCACACCAGCAAAGTGGTGCAGGAACCCACAAAGCAGTTTGCACTTTAGGCCCAAGGTGGGGCAAGTGCTATATTTCCTGGCAGGTTGGTCTTAGAGCTCTTTAGTAATCAGGATGAGGGTGGGAGAATGTCCCAACTGATAGGGTGGCCTGACTTGGCACTTGAGTCAGACATGTCTCTGTTCCTGTCACCACTGCTCCCTCCCTTTGTCACCTTGAAAGTATTTGTTCACTCAATTCAGTTTTTTATTAACTGTAAAATGAATTTTAGCAGTAGAGCTTGAACGATAAGAAAATATTTTCAAAGAGTCATGAAAAATGCAGATTTCAGAAAAAAAAATCTGGTCATATATTTCGTTTGTTAAAAATTCTCATTAACATATTTTCTTCCCCAGAGTGAGTAAATGAGAAAATACCCAGTGTTTGAAGAATCCAGCAAAATTGCTTTAACTCACTGTTTATCTTTATAGAGTAAAGTAAAATAAATATAAAGTAAATTCTGAAGGGAAAAAAATCAAACCAGAATATTTTTCCTCTGCTCTCATACCACAACAATCAACACAGAAGATTTCTTTGACCAAATGTGTGCAAATTTCTTCCTGTCAACAAACAATAAATTTTACAGGAGACACCAGCTAAACTTTAGTAAGTTTGGAGTAAATTTCTTAGGTCTTTTCTTTATTGGAGATGATTTTCAGAGCTTAGCTTTGGGAATCCTACCTGGGGCAAAAAATAGAAAAAAAAAATCTCTCTTCCATTTTGGTTGCAGAAAAATGAATACAGATTCACAAGAAAGTGTGGTAGAAAAATGGGAGGCCAGGTGCTCAGAGGGATGGAATTTTTAGTCCCAACCCCAACCTCTGGTGAGGGGAGAGGCGCTGAAGGTTAAGTTGATTGCAAATGGCATATGGTTAAACTAATTATGCCTATGAAATGAAGCTTCCATAAAACCTCCAAAGGACAGGGTTTGGGGATCTTCCAGATGTCTGAACATGTGGAGGTTCCTGGAAGGTGGGGAGCCTGGCAAGGGCTTGAAAGCTCTGAACCCCTTTCTCCATACCTTGTCCTATGTTTCTCTTCATCTGACTGTTTATATCTTTAAAAATATCCCTTATAATAAACCAGCATATATAAGTAAGTGTTTCCCTGAGTTTTGTTAGCTGGTCTAGCAAATGATTTAATCAAGTCTACGAGGGCACCATGGAACTCCACTTGAAGCTGGTTGGTCAGTTTTGTAGGCCTGGACTTGCAATTGGTATTGAAGGGGGGACAGTTTTGTGGGAATGAGTCCTCAGCTTGTGTGATTTGACACTATCTCCAGGTATATAGTGTCAGAATTGAGCTATATTTGAGGATGTTTAGCTGATGTCTCCTGCAGAATTGATTGTTTGTTGATAGGAAGAAATTTGTACACATTTGGTCAAAGAAGTCTTCTGTGTTGATTGTTGCGGTGTGAGAGCAGAGGAAAAACATTTCTGGTTTGATTTTTTTCCCCTTCAGAATTTACTTCCCTTCTATAAATATAAACAATGAGTTAAAGCAATTTTGCTGGATTCTTCAAATACTGGGTATTTTCTCATTTACAATTTTTTTTTTTTTTTTTTTTTTTTGAGACAGTCTTGCTCTGTCACCCTGGGTAGAATGTGGTGGCATCTTCATGGCTCACTGCAACCTCAAACTCGTGGGCTCAGGTGATCCTCTTGCCTCAGCCTCCCCAGCACTCCTGGGACTACTGGCATGCATCAGGACACCAGCTAATTTTCTACTTTTAGTAGAGATTGGGTCTTGCTCTTTCTCAGGCTGGTGAATACCTGAGCTCAAGCAATACTCCTGCCTAGGCCTCCCAGAGTGCTAGGATTACAGGCATGAGGCACTAAGGCTGGCCTCATCTACATTGATAACCCTGATTGAGAAGCAGAGACCTGAGCCCTGTGACTCCAAGCTAAAGCCAGTGTTGAGCCTGCAAAAGAAGGTGATTGAATGCCCAGTGAGTTCTTCCTGGGGAGCCTCACCTGCAGGTGTTCCTGTTCACACTAGCCATGGGAGCATGACTTTATACCGAGAGGTGCTGCAGATCCCTGGAAAGTTGGGGACCCACAGGGAGATTTGTTTGAGTTGGGGATGGAAGGAGTGTTTGATGCCCTTTCTGAGAGTGCAATTGTTATTGTCCTGGGGCTGTTTTTAGACATTGACAAATAAAACAATTTCAGATTTAGATGAGAAATGACTTTATTGCAAAGGAGTATTGCAACAGGGGGAAAGTACCAAATATAAGATATGCAAGCCTCTTAAAGGTTAGGCAGAAAAGGGCTTTCTTTTCTAGGGAGGAGTAAATAAGACAGGTAGGAAGTGAGGGCAGGCTGTGGGGTGGCAAAATTACATGGTAAATGAGAGACTGATTTACCCTGAAGGCAGACTGTTCTTAGGAGGGACACAGACAGGGTCTGTGTGCTGGCTAAGGCTGAGGGGGCATCAAAGTTCAGGGGCCTGGCAGAAGGAGAGTAACTTAAACCATATTTGGCTAGCAAATATTTTGTTCAGACCAGTGAAAACACAGTTGTTCATCTAATTGTTTATGAGGCAAAAATGGGAATTTGTAGAATCTTTGTTTGGCTTTGTGATAAGTAAAACCGGGAGCACCATCTAAATCCAAACATAAAGGGTGTTTCTTTGCAGTGAGCTGCTCTTAATGAACACAGAGGAGGGGGTTGCTGTAATCACAGCTGTTTACAGGATCACCTTCAAACCCCAGCTTCCCCACCACTTTCCCTGGCACACAAGTCCCTTCCATTTAGCCATTTAAATTTAGCCATTCATTAAATTGCTAAGTGTAGCAATTTAATGAAATAATAAATGTAACTAAAGTGTTTTGCTGAGTTCCGTGAATAGTTGTATCAAGTTATTGAACTTGAGAAACAGGTTATGGGAACCCCTGATTTACAAGCAGTTGTTGAGAAGTATAGATCGCCCCTCAGGGCTTGCATCTGGCATCTGTAGTGTGAGCACTGATGTGGGACTGATCCCTGAACTTATGGGTCCTGTGCTAACTCTGGGTGGTATCAGAATTGAATTGTTGGACAACAAATTAGTGTTGGAGAATTGAGTGATGTTCAACAAATGTCACACATTTGGTGTGAGAAGTGTTGACAGAATAATGACATTGCAGGTCAAACCCTTAAACCAACTCTAGGTGAGTGGTCACTGATGAGAATTTAGACCTTGCAGGTCTCAAGAATGAGACTTCAGACTGGGCGCGGTGGCTCACGCCTGTAATCCTAGCACTCTGGGATGCTGAGGTAGGTGGATTGTTTGAGCTCAGGAGTTGAAGACAAGTCTGAGCAAGAGTGACCCCATCTCTACTTTAAAAAAAAAAT